TTTCTTTACCTAGGGGGCAGTGCTTGCTTTGCCTGTGCTCTCTCTTTCAATCCATCCCCCCAAAAGCGGCCCTTACAAAACACAGCCCTCCAACTTCTCATGTCTTAGCCGGGTGCCGGGTGGGTTGGTCCAACTGACCTGCATCATGTCTTCGATTGCTTGCTAGGTGGGGAAATGGAAGTGGCCAGAGGGCGCAGTGTTTCAAAACCCTCCTGTGCACTTGGCCCAACGATGCAATAGACCAGGGGCGCATTCATGCTGTTTCCCACAAGCATCTGATTTACTCCGCCCCGCTGTCAAGGGTTAAACCAATCCAAGACCAAGGTGCTAGGTCCAAGTGCTTGTTGATGAGAACCTCCCACTCCTGCCACAAAACTCGAGGTTGTGCCGAGGGGCTGTCCCAACACAAGACAAAAAAGTCCCTGAAGAGCTTGTCTGGGGAACATTGAATGACAGATTCAAGGCTACTTCTCGCGAGCTTTGGTCATGGCATCTTGGAACGAGGTATAGGCACCTTTGGGACATGCCCTCATCCACAACCAAACTTTCGACCTCCACTCAGCACATCTCAGTACCCGGCACAGGCGCACACTAAATTGGGCCTTCAAGACCTGAAGTAAAGGCCCTGAAAATCCTGGCCAGTAGGTTTTGGCCATGGTTTGAGTGTTGCGGAAGCCCAGCAAAAAAGAAGGAGCCAAGGGCGAACCCCTCTCGATTCATTCCCCTCCGGATACGTCAGAGGAACCAGCGGCAGCTCTTGGTCCAGGTACTGGCAAATGGCCTAGCAACAGCACTCCCCCTGAACACCCCCCCCCACCACTCCTCTCCCCCCCCCACGGACAAGTGTGGCTGTTTAAAAAGCCTTTCTGACGGAGTTCTCGGGGCTTCCATGTTTCTTGGGCAGGTGTGCTCTCTTTCGACTTGTTCCTGGGAAAAATGCAAAGGGTCTATTGCACGAGCTGGTACCCAGCTGGGCAACGAAAAATGTTCCCTCTATGTGGCTCTTTGCCGTTCTGCAGCCTTTGGTGTTGTCATCTCGCGTCTGGTTTGTCTCTCTAAAGATGCAAACACGAGCCCAACTTGGGTGACCAAGCCCCTTTTTCTGGGTTCCAGGGCTCTAGGGCCTGTGCTGCGCGAGCAATTGCCATACCATGCAAGCTGGAACCTGTTTGTAAGAAAATCGTTTGTGGTCCAACGAATTAACTGATGGTCCTTGCCAAGCTGAGAGCGACTCGCAGCCAAAAAAAGCCGCGCTCTTGGCGCCTTCGAATCCACGACCACGGTCTTCTTCTCCCTGTCGACCAGGGTGGGTACAGCCAATGGATCGAAACCTGAGATCGACTTTTATTTGATTGGTCTCAACATCGGGAAGCCAACCTGGGATGCATTCGCAGGGCTAAAAGGAAACCAATCGTCTTACAGCACACCATCAGTACATGCAAACTGCAGTCAATGGCTGCGGCCCTCGAAGCAACAGCCCTTTCTGGTTGACTTTGGAGAGGAAGTGCAAGACACGCCGATCGCGTAGTGCTTGCTGGTGTGCTGCTCGAAGTTGTGTAAAGCCTTTGTATCCGTCTGGCTGGTCCCAACTTGGACTCTGCCCATTGCGCAATTCTGGGCCTGTTAGGCAGCCAAAGATCATTCCACAGAACGTTTCAACATCATAACTGGATGTCGCCAAAGTGAGAAACACTGGGAAATCTGGAAAACCAAACCAACAGAATAGAAGTAGGGTCCCTACTTGGTCACACACACACACATGCACGCACGCATACACAGGTCGAATTGAGGGTCCTTCTGCGGCATCCGCGTGGTGCTCTTTGTTTTGCTCTTGAAGCCAGCCAAACAGGGTACCCCCCTTCCAAGGCGGCGCGTTTCGCATGTTTGCGGGTCATTCATGCAACTGCTTTGATTTGCGTGGCGCTCGTCAAATGCTTCCTTTAAAACCATTGAAGCCCCATTGGAATATATCTAACATGAACACAAAGAAGGCCGCAGTCAATGAACCAGTCCCCCGTCTCGCAAGACTTGGGCCGGATTGGTCTGTCACGATCCGTCAAACGATGTTGTGAAGGATTGCACACTAAAACAGCAGCGAAGTGCTTCAAAAGGGGATCCATGAAGTCAGCAACGCAAGCCCCTTTGAGGTCGTTTTGCCAAGATTTATGTAAACGGTCGTCAGCTGTTTTGACACCATATTTGCTACTGCGTGAGAGAACATCGGCTGGAGACCAACCACGCTGAAACTTAGCCTTTCTGCGTTGGTCATGTCATGACCCGGTTATCTTCAAAGGAGACTTCTGCATAACGCTTTCCCCAGATTAAAAAACCCATGGTTGATTAATAGGGGGGGTGTCCCATTTTAGTGGGGATTCATCACTTTTGGAGGGAACACCCCCAAAAAAATGGGACGGGTTTACTAAACATTACCGAAGCTCAAGGTGACAGACTTGCAGGCCAAGCAGCCCTGGCTCGTGGCTCCGCTCGAGCCGTTGAAGACCTGGCGGGGTTCAACGAATCAATGTGTCTTCCTCCGTTTCAGAACATGCGAGAACCCGGTGAGCGACTCTACACACGCTCCACATACCCCGTGAATCCCTATGTCGTGGAAGGTTGATGTCGCGCGAGCGAGTGCTTTGCTGATGCGACCCATGTTTTAGCTTACGCGGCAGTCATCGAGCATGTCAAGCTTACGCGTTGCTTACGCCGCTTACGCATATGCACTTTGAGCGGCTCCCCTGAAGAATTGCTTACTCGGGCCACCTTATCTATGCAGGCGCCGCTGTGCAAGATAACGTGGCTGACTCTGAGGAAGTTGATGAAGAACTGCACGCAAGTGGATTAACTTGGGGCTGTTGTTCCTTGCGGGGTCTTCGCTTTGTAGCCCTCTTGCTCAGCTTGCTCAGCACTTTGGATTTGGCCGACAACCTTCGCCTCCAGGGCTTGTGTTGCCTACCGTGCAAATCAAGGAGCGGCATTTGCGGCATCACGGCATGGGCGAGCGGGCATCCGAGCAAGGTGAGCTTACCCTTGCCAACACGCCTGCTTACGCCTGCTTACGCCTGCTTACGCCTGCTTGCGCCTGCTTACGCCTGCTTACGCCTGCTTACGTGCCTGGACGCAAAAAAATTGGCTGAATCTGCCGTGCGGTAGCCCGTTTGCTTTGGAAATCCGACGGTTGAGCCCTTGACGTTCAGCAACTTTTGCAAGCAGCCACGAGGCAGAGACACAAGCCCTTGCTTGGCATGTAAAGGTTTGTTTTAGAGCTCCAGCGGATGTTAGTATCTTCTGGTTGTTTCCCAAAAGATTGATGGGTGAATATCACGAATGAGGACCAACCTTTCACAGTGGTTGGTGTTTCGTGCAACTGCTTTGACCGGGCTGGCTGCCACCTGTTTCAAGCAAATCTCGCGCTCCGTGAACGCTTGAAGAGATGTGTGATTTGAGTCAGAAATGAGTTGGTGATCTTTGGTGTCGCGCTTAGAGGGAAAGAGACACGCGCCCAGCTTTACTGGCTGGCTGCCACCATTGGCGAAAACCAATGATCTATGTCCCACCCAAACATACCCTTTAAAGGAAACCCCTTCAAGTGGCGCAAAGCGAAATTGATTTCTCAAATCGCATTTACCGTTCTATGAGCTTTGCGGACCTTCTTGAATTTAAACAAGACAGAGCCCACGAACCCGAATGCACATCACTTTGCGCAAACCCAAGAAAATCATTAGAGAGAACATTTTTCGGTATAAGCCAATGGGGCTCGCAAGCAAGCCTACTGCGCAAACTATGTTTTTAAGCTTGTAAAACTGCACTTTGCGTGCTCCACTTGTTGCTACAAAGCTACGAATTTCAATCTGGAGCTGGACACCTGCGCTTCGCGCGCTAGACTTGTATACTACAAAGTTGCGATTTTCCAGCCGGAGCTGGTACTTCGTGCACTAGACTTGCGCTACACAGCTGCGATTGTCCAGCTAGAGCTGAAAACCTGTACTTTGCGTACTAGACTTGTACTACAAAGTTGCGATTTTCAAGCTGAAGCTCAAAACCTGTACTTCGCGTACTATACTTACGCTTCAAAGTTGCGATCTTCCAGCCAGAGCTGGAAACTTGTACTTCACGTACTATACTTGCTACAAAGCTGTGACTTTCCAGCTAGTGCTGGAAACCTGCACACTTCGCGCACTAAACTTGTACGAGCTGGTACTACAAAGTTGCGATTTGCCAGCTAGAGCTAGAACCCTGTACTTTGCGTACTCGACTTGTGCTACAAAGTCGCGGTTTTCCAGCTAGAGCTAGAAACCTGTACTTTGTGTACTAGACTTGTACAACAAAGTCGCGATTTTCCAGCTGGAGCTGGAGACCGGTACTTCGCGTACTAGACTTGTCAAAGTTACGATTTTCCAGCTAGAGCTGAAAACCTGTACTTCGTGCGCAAGGCTTGTGCTACAAGGTTGTGATTTCCAGCTAGGGCTGGACTTCGCGTACCTGTGCTTCGCGTACTAGACTCATACTACAAAGTCACGATTTTCCAGCGATGACTAGACTTCTGAGCGACACGTCTGAGCACAACTTTTGATTGACAGTTCTGAGCGACACTTTTGAGCGACACCTGATCAACACTTCTAAACCGCACTTTTTCTGATCCACACTTCTGAGCAACACTTCTGAGCAACGCTTTTTCTGATCGGCTTTTCTGAGCAACACTTCTGATTGACACTTGAACCACACTTTTTCAGATCGACGCTTCTGAGCAAGACTTCTGAGCAACACTTTTTCTGATCGACTTTTCTGAGCAACACTTCTGGTTAACACTTCTGAACAACACTTTTGATCCGCACTTCTGATTGACACTTCTAATCGACAGTTTGAGCAACACTGCTGAACAACACTTCTGATTGAGACTGATGAGCAACACTTCTGATCCACACTTCTGATCGACAGTTCTGAGCAACACTTCTGACCAGCACTTCAGATCCACACTCCTCATCGGCACTTCTGAACGACACTTCTGAGAAACGCAGCTGAATTGACACTTCTGAGCGACACTTCTGACCAACACTTCTGATCGACACATCTGATCGACACTTTTGAGGAACCCTTTTCATCAGCACTTCTGAGCAACACTTCCAACCCACACTTCTGATCGCCACTTCCGAGCGACATTTCTGCCAAACACTTCCGAGCAACACTTCTGAGCGACACTTCTGAGCAACACTTCCAACCGACACTTCCGAGCAACACCCTTGAAGGAGACTTCTGATGTACACTTCGGAGTTACACTTCTGAGCGACACTTCTGACCAAAACTTCTGATCCACACTGCCCATCGACACTTCTGAGCGACACTTCTGAGCAAAACTGCTGAATTGACACTTCTGAGCGACACTGCTGAGCAACACTTCAGGCTGACACTTCTGCGCGACACTTCCTAGCAACACTGCTTATCGACACTTCTGAGCGACACTTTTCATCGACTTTTCTAACCAACACTTCTGATCGACACTTCTGAGCAACACTTTTCATCCGCACTTCTGATTGACCCTTCTGATCGACAGTTCTGATCGACAGTTCTGAGCAACACTTCTGACCGATGCTTCTGACCAGCACTTCCGAGCAACACTTCTGAGCAAACACGCACACACACGTACACACACACATGTAAGCGACGCTTTTGAGCGACACTTCCGAGCGACACCTCTGAACAACACTTCTGGGCAACACGGCGTGGCACTCCTGAGCGACACTAGCTCTGAAAACACCTTTGAGCGACACGTCTGGGCCACACACAATCAGCAACACTGCTCCCAATGCGAGCAAGATTTCTACACATCTCAGCGACACGAGCAACGCTCCTGAGAGACACTTCTGAGCGACGCCTCTGAGCAACGAGCGACACCCCTGAGCAACACTTTTTGAGCTTCTGATCGAAACTTCCGAGCAAGAGTTCTGTTCGACACTTCTCAGCGACACTTCTGAGCAACACTCTTGACTGACACTTCTGAGCGACACTTTTGAGCGATACTTCTGAACCACACTTCTGATTGACACTTCTGAGCAACACGTCTGATCCTTCTGATTTGATCAACAGTTCCAGTTCGGAGCAACACTTCGTGGCGCGGTGCGCTTTTTGAGCATGCGAAGCGAACCTTCTGTGCGCTTTGGGTGGGTCCTCTCTCTGTGGCGCGGTGCGCATTTTGAGCATGCGAAGTGAACCTTCTGCGCACTTTGGGTGGGTTGAGTCGCTCTCGCTGTGTCGCGGTGCACATTTTGAGCGCGCAAAGTGAACCCTCTGCGCACTTTGGGTGGGTCGAATCGCTCTCGCTGTGGCGCGGTGCGCATTTGGAGACAGAAGTGTGGTTCAGAAGTGTCGATCACAAGTGTCCATTAGAAGTGTCGATTAGAAGTGTCGTTCAGAAGTGTCGGTCAAAAGTGTCGCTCAGAAGTATCGACAGAAGTGTTGCTCGGAAGTGTCGGTCATCGACAGAAGTGTTGCTCGGAAGTGTCGATCAGAAGCGTTGCTTAGAAGTGTCGATCAGAAGCGTTGCTCAGAAGTGTCGATCAGAAGTGTCGAACAGAAGCATTGCTCAGAAGTGTTGCTCAGACGTGTCTCTCAGAAATGTTGTCAGAAGTGTGGATCAAGCAAGAGCGATTTGACCCACCCAAAGTGCGCAAAGGGTTCGCTTTGCGTTCGCAAAATGTGCACCGCGCCACAGCGAGAGCGATTTGACCCACCCAAAGCGCGCAGAGGGTTCGCTTCGCGTTCGCAAAATGCGCACTGCGCCGCAGCGAGAGCGATCTCGCTGAGTCAAAAGTGACGTGCTTGCCACGAAATCCCAGGCGCACTCAAAATGTGCGCCGCGCCACAGCGAGAGCGATTCAACCGATTCAACCCACCCAAAGCGCGCAGAGGCTGAGGGTTGAGTCAAAGTGACGTGCCTGCCACGAAGTCTACACCCAGGCGCCAAAGTACTGCGCCTGCCACAAAATTTGCACGAAAAGCTCCAAGGTACCGCGCCTGCCACAAAATTCAACCAAAACGCTCGAAAGTGCTGCGCCTGTCACGCAACGTAAGCTTGCCACAAACTCAAAATCATCCAAACTGCTGAACCTGCCACGAAATCCAACTTTGACACGTTTACGACACGCATCCAAAACTAGCACGAAACTGCGGCGCCATGATATCGACCAACTTTGACGCGTCTCAAGCTCGCCAAAGCGAGCCGATTGTACGGCAAGGGCCAACGACTCGTGCAAACACTTGCGCGCGCCTGCCAAGCAAGACACCTCAAAACAACCACCCCTGACACGCGAATCACACTGGCCCGGCAACTTGAACACGCAGCCTTCCAAAACACCGCGCCGCGCAGCAAAACCACATGTCGATCTTGCGAAGCTACAATTCCCGCACCGGGCCAATGAAAACAGCACTTGCCGATCCATCAAAAACACGCTTCCACGACGAATCCCAATGGCACACGCTTATCGCCTCACCGCGAACGGTTGC